TTGATTTTGAGATTTATTGCTCTATGTTCTAATAAATGCATGGAATTATTTCAATATTTTTGTTTTTGTTGAGGTTTGTTTTGTGGACCAGTATGTGGTCAGCATTTGAAAAAGTTCCATGAGGTGCTGAGTAGAAAGTGTATTCTTTGGTGTTTGGGGGGAATAATCGAAAGATGTCTGTTAGGTGCATTTGATGTATGGTATCATTTAATTCAGATGTCTCTCTGTTTATTCTTTGTCCAGTTGACTTGTCTAATGGAGACAGCGGGGTATTGAAGTACCCTACTACTACTGAATTGGGCTTAATCTGTGTCTTAAAGTCCTGCAGTGCTGTTTTTATGAATTTGGGTGCACCAGAATTTGGTGCACATATGTTAAGGATTGTGATATCTTCTTGGTTAACTGTTCCTTTGATCAGAATGAAGTGACCCTCCTTATCTCTTCTGATTAGTTTTAATTTGAAGTCTATTTTGTCAGATATTAGAATTGCAACCCCTCTTTGTTTCTTAGTGCCATTTGCTTGGAATATTCTTTTCCATCCTTTTACCTTAAGGTAGTGCCTGTCCTTGAAGTGAGATGGGTTTCTTGCAGACAGAAAAGAGATGGATTTTCTTTCTTAATCCCTTCTTTAACCTGTGTCTTTCAACTGGGGAGTTCAGTCCATTGATATTTAAGGTTATTATTGAAAGGTGTTTATTGGTTGCCATCATTTTGATTGCTGTTTGTGTTCTTTGTGTAATTTTGTGTTTGCTAGATTATAACTTTATTTTCTTTCATTGCCCCTGGGTTCTAGCTGTTTCTCTCTCTGCTCTCTGTATCGCTTCAAGTATTCTTTGGAGGGCTGGTTTTGTGGACATGTATTCTTTCAGGCTATTTGTGTCATGGAAGATTTTTCTTTCCCTCTCAACTACAATAGACATTTTGCTGGGTATAGTATTCTGGGCCGGCATTTATTGTCGTGTAAAACTGGAAATACCTTGGTCCAGGATCTTCTGGCTTTCATAGTTTGCATTGATAAGTCAGCTGTAATTCTGATGGGCTTTCCTTTGTATGTGACTTGTTTTTCTTTTGCTGCTTTCAGTATTCTCTCTTTGTTCTGTACAGTTAGTGTTTTTACTATGACATGTTGTGGGGAGTTTCTTTTCTGATCCTGTCTATTTGGTGTTCTATGTTCTTCCTGTATTTGTACAGGGATGTCTTTCCTTAATTGCTCTTCTATAATCCTGTTTAAGATCTGGTCAACACTATTGACCTGAAATTCTTCTCCTTCTTCTGTTCCTATGACCCATAGATTTGGTCTTTTCATGGTGTCCCACATCTCTTGCATATTCCATTCCTGTGTTTTGTTTTGTTTTGTTTTTTTTAATTTTCCATACTCTTTGCTTGAGTGGTCCAATTCTTCAACTTTATCCTCCAGTGTTGATATTCTGTTTTCCATTTCATTCATTCTAGAGGTGAGGCTTTCCCCTGTTGTTACAATCTGGCTTATTGAGCTTTGCACTTCCTCCTTCATTTCTGCCTGAGTTTTCTTTAATGTTCCTATCTCTTTTGTGAATTCATTCAGAAGTTTATCCCCCTCTTCTTTTAGCTCTTTGATTTGTTTGTTCATGTGTTCTTTAAAATTGATCATGTTTATGATTGTTCTTTTAAATTCAGAGTCCTGGGTTATCTCCAGAGGGTTCTCCTTGTAGGCCTGTTCTACAGGATTGGTGGGGTTTGGTGGGGACATAGTGTTTTGGCTGAGATCCTAGCAGACAGCCTGAGAGGGTGGGTTCAGACCTCCTCCATGGTAGTAGCTGTGGGGAGCTCAGCAGACCACCAGAGTGTTCTGGGTTCTGGCCTCCCTCTGTCCTCCAACTACCAGAGGGCCTGAGAACCCAGGGGACGGCCTGACAGCCCCAGATCTTGCTTCCACATGGTGGTGAGATTTCCCCTAATTCCGCCATACCATCCCCCTACCTGGGGTTTAGTGAGGCCCCTCCCAAGGGCCCAGGGCAGATCTGGCTTTGGTAAGCTAAGGTTGGGATCTCAGCAGACTCCAAAAGAGTGCTGGGTTCTGTCCTCCCTCTGGCCTCCCTCTAGCATAGGGTTGACATCGCACAGTCCTGCCTGAAAGAGCCAGGATCCTGCTTCCACATGGTGAAGGAAGCCTGAGTGTACCTAGCTGGAACTTGAATTGGGCTTCTGTGGGTACCCTTGAATAGCTGATCTGAAGCCATCAGTTCCCTCCAAATTAAACCTGAGAGAACCTGAGCCCTGTACCAACCAACTTTAAATAACCAAGAAAGAAAGGATCTAGGCACCCAGATAATACAAACAGGTGCCTACTTCAACTTAATTCTCATATCGGAATAATAAACAACAAAATAAATTCACATGCCAAAACCACAACAAAATAATAATAAAATGTAAGGCCAAAACGCTATGTCCCCACACCCCACCAATCCTGTAGAACAGTTCTACAAGGAGAACCCTCTAAAGATAAAAATTCTTATATCCAAAAGTTGCCCAATACAGAATACATAAGTTAAATATATATCCCCACACCCGGGTGTGGTGGCACATGCCTTTAGTCCCACCACTGGGGGTTGGGGGGGGCGGAAGCAGGTGGATCTCTGTGAGTTCAAGGCCAGCCTGGTCTACATAGTGAGTTCCAGGCCAGCTGGGG